CCCAGCATTTTATGGAACAAGAAGGTTCATTACCGTGTTTACAAGAGCCCTCCACTGATCCCTATCCTGAGACAGATCAATCCAATCCATCCCATCCTATATCTCTAACATTCATTTTAATATTGTCTGCCTACCTACGCCTTGGTCTTTCAAGTGCTCTCTTTCCTTCCGGCTTTCTTATATGCATTTCTCTTCTCCCCCATTCGTGCTACATGACCTTCCAACCTCTTCATCCTTGACTTGATCATTCTAACTATATTTGGAGAAGAGTAAGTTATGAAGCTCCTCATTATGCAGTTTTCTCCAACCTCTTGTCACTTCATCTCTCTTCGGTCCAAATATTCTCCTGAACACCCTGTTCTCAAACACCCTCAGTCTGTGTTCCTCCCTTAATGTCAGAGACCAAGTTTCACACCCATGTAGAATCACAGGCAAGATTATAGTTTTGTATAGTGACCAACATGAGGCGTTTAAAATATTAAAATGCGTCAGTGTACTTTATTGGACTGCCTGTTTGCAGTGGATTCATCGACAAACCCAAGCCTTCGGTTGTTTATTTATGTGAGTTCATTGTGATAGACTGAAAAATGTATAGCGGTTCTAATTATACTGGGAGAAGAGTGCATGTTACGAAGCTCCTCATTGTGCAGTTTTCTCTAGCCTTCTCCTGTTCCAACCCTCGTGGGGCTACATATTCGCATCAGAACCCTTTCCTCAGACACTCTTAGTCCCTGTGTAAGATTTGAGGCTTTCACGGCGGTGACTATGAAGAACTCAGTCTTCTGGGATTTGGCACCGTGTATATGTGGTGTTAACCGACGTTTCGGAGGAACGTATCGCCTCCATCTTCAGGGTAGAAGAAAAAATACGTCGGTTAACACCACATATACACGGTGCCAAATCCCAGAAGACTGCTTTCTTCACTCTTAGTCCCTGTTCTTCACTTGAAGTCAGAGACCAAGTCTTACTCTCATACAAATATACAGGAAAAATTATGGTTTTCTATATTTTAATCTTTACATTTCTGGACAGCGGACGAAAAAATGAAAATATATCACAAGTTGACGAAGAACCACTGATTTGGGTTTCAGTCTGAGTACCAAGATAAACATGTTTGTAATTTCAAGTAGAATTAAAAAAAATAGAGTAGGGGGAGAGGCAAGGTATACATTGGCATGGTACATATTAATGCCATTAAAAAGACATTTGAGATGGTATGAGTTCATCAGTACCCAAACCCTACCCACCAAAAACAACATACATGACGAAAATGATCATATCTAGGACACGAACCAACTTTGGAAATGGACATAGACTTGAGCAGATTCTATGTACTTAGTTCAGACGCGAGCAGATTCTATGTACTTAGTTCAGACGCGAGCAGATTCTGCGTACTTAGTTCAGACGCGAGCAGATTCTGCGTACTTAGTTCAGACGCGAGCAGATTCTGTGTACTTAGTTCAGACGCGAGCAGATTCTCTGTACTTAGTTCAGACGCGAGCAGATTCTGCGTACTTAGTTCAGACGCGAGCAGATTCTGCGTACTTAGTTCAGACGCGAGCAGATTCTGTGTACTTAGTTCAGACGCGAGCAGATTCTCTGTACTTAGTTCAGACGCGAGCAGATTCTGCGTACTTAGTTCAGACGCGAGCAGATTCTGCGTACTTAGTTCAGACGCGAGCAGATTCTGTGTACTTAGTTCAGACGCGAGCAGATTCTCTGTACTTAGTTCAGACGCGAGCAGATTCTGCGTACTTAGTTCAGACGCGAGCAGATTCTGCGTACTTAGTTCAGACGCGAGCAGATTCTGTGTACTTAGTTCAGACGCGAGCAGATTCTCTGTACTTAGTTCAGACGCGAGCAGATTCTGCGTACTTAGTTCAGACGCGAGCAGATTCTGCGTACTTAGTTCAGACGCGAGCAGATTCTATGTACTTAGTTCCAGATCGCTTATTTTTTTGTAAAAAATCTATTTCCAGTTTTTTTAAAACGTCACAGCTGTCGTTTTTATCTTCCCCCCACGAGGTTTCCTGCTGAGCTGCAGCTTCTGTTTGGTTCTGACAAATTATTTTCACTCCTGGCCCAAAAACTACACGTGTTTATCGTGGCTGTGCTTCGCGGGGGCCACTTCTGTCCACATTCCGGAACGTAAGAGGGAAGAACGGTTTGATGCGGAACAAAGTGGAGGAAATTTAAAGAAATGGGATGCGTCTCCGCCATCCGCCTTAAACACGATGTGGGTGGAGTCTTCCTTCTCACGGTCCTGTAACTTTAACCAAGGTTAATACAAAGATTTGTGTTGTCATGTTTGGTGTTAATTTGTCCTGTGACTTTGGCATGGTCCATGAACTCATTCACTCACAACTGGATACTGACAGCGATTTGCCTTTCATTGCTCGGATACGAAGACCTGCTTTTGAACAATGAGAACATCCTTATGCATGCCGTGACAATGGTGCTTGTCTTCAGTGGAATATAAAATAGTTTGCCCTAGTATACTCTTGCGCAGTGAAAATTTAAACGTTGGATGGAATAGAAAAGAAGATTGCCAACCAAGTTTGAAGGCGCTGCAAGAGGATTTACTAGAATGTATTCGTAAGAAGGTAAAGCTATCCCTGTAACAGACCGTGGAGGCACATAGGGTTGTGAGACGTCGAGGCTCCCACATTTTCTATACAATCGGCTCATAGATGACGGTGAGGCTACAGCCTTAAGCGACTGTCACCCTTTACCCGTAGGAAGATTCCTGGTACTCATTTCTGGAAAGAATCCAATCATCTCATCGCGGATCGAATCTGCGACCTTCCAGCGTTGGTAGCATTGTGCCTCAGAATATATAACAAACTCCATGGCTTTAGTCAGCAAGCGAACTATACCGACTGAGCGAAGTTAATGTCTACGGCCGTTAATTTAGGTTTTCTAGACCGGAGCCACTACTTTTCCATTCAGGTAGCTTCTCAGTTATCCTCACGAGGCTGAGTGAACCCCGTTCCAGACCCATTACTAAGAAAATCTGGTAACTCCGGGAATCGAACCCGGGACCTCTGGATCTGTAGCCAGGAACTCTGACCACTAGATCACAGAGGTGGTCGACCTCTTAAGAATTCCATAATAAAGTTACGAAGAACATTAGGTTCTGAGATTCGATCCATGGATCATGCAAATGCAGCTGAGATGTTTTGACACGGAACCACCGTACCCGCTTTTACTCGTTTAAATATTTAATAGAGTAGAGTCTATTGGGAAACTGATAGTCGGTGAGCTAATTCCTTACACAACCCCATGGTTCAGACTTCCCTGCTCTCCCTTATCCAGTCCACACCCTCTCTCCCCATTTCTGTACTATCATATTTGAGTGTTGTTCCATCTACGTCTAGGTCTTGCACATGGCCTACTCCTTGAAGTTTCCAGACTACGGTTTTGCGTGCATTTCTCATCTGCCCCAGGGTTCGAATGTATTATGCGTTTTGTCTTGATTTCTGGGCAGATTTTCAAGAAGGGGAGAAACGCTTTTAGTTTAACTCATGTCGCGTCACATCGCAGAGTAAAGGAGTTTCGCCAAGTTCTGTGTCCTGCTGTATGTACTCGCTGATGATGCTAACTGCATGCTTTTAGCGTGTGAGAAGGAATGTGTGTGGTGTAAAAAGCGTGGGAGCCTGGTTTAAACCCGACGTTAAGAAAATTAAGTTCCACACTAAAACATTACAGACAGACTGTTGAGTTTAATGGACATGTGAATAGTACGGCTTTTTGGGTTGTACATAACATTATATAGCTCTGAGAGAGCCTAACGTTTCGGAGTAAGATACCGTTTCCATCTTCAGAGACGAAAAGTAAGCCATGAGTGCTGCTGGTTTCTTGATTGGCTTGTTCTTAGACTCCGAGGATGGAGGCGATATGTTCCTCCGAAAACGTTTGCCCCTCTCCGAACTGCACAATATTACAACCCACGAGCCGTGAGAATCTCACATCCATCACACATGGAAATGTGTTTCGGACGTTACAGGAATATTTTGGGACAGTAATTAACTCTGTTGGTGCTGCCGCCCATGGAGAACTTGAAGCTTTCCCCTTTTTCTTCTGTACTTCATGGCATAGGCAATCAAGCGTGTTCCGACCTCACATGCTCATTCCATCTTTCTCAAGGTCTTCCTGGTTTCGGCCTTCTGATTTATACTGTGGAATCTGTTTCGCTATCCTTCATCAGTCATTGAGTCCAAATAGTCTGCCCGGCTTCGTCTTTTTTCGTGTGTTTTAAGTTATTTCCGGCTGTTGTCATTCTTAATATGGTAAAAGGTAAAACTATCCGTGTAGCAGGCCGTGGAGGCCCATAGGGTTGTGAGACGTCGAGGCTTCCTCATTTTCTACACAGTCGCCTCACAGATGGCGGTGAGGTCAGCCTTACGCGCCGGCTGCCCTTTACCCCTAGGAAGGTTCCTGGTACTCATTTCTGTTAGAGGCTGAGTCGACCACAGGGCCATAGTGCGGCTGGAAGGGTTAGGAAAATCGAAAACTCAAATGACCACGTGTGGAACTGAAGTCGCGACCTTCCGGTTTGTAGCATAGTGCGTCAACCAACTACGCTACGCGTGCCTGGTCTAATGAAGCCATCAACTGTCCTCAAGTATCTCGTCTCTCAGGATCGCGTTGTTTATTTCTCTTGGTTGAAGTGCCCACAATCCGCGTCCGCGTAGGAAAGTTAGTAGTGCTACAGCTTTATAACCTTTTGTCAGTATATCTTAACGTGTTTTAGTCGTTAAGTTTCTTCTTAGGGTACTATATAGTCTATCATATCTTGCTTATTGCTTTCATGGCAGCTAAAATGTTACATATTCTTAGGCGATTAATCGTCCTGAATTGACCCGGCTTATTCGCCTAGAATCTAGATGATTTTATCGTATTTCTGTCTTATCTATATCGAAGCTTCTTTTTATTCTGAGTTATATTGTGTCACTTAAACTGTTACACAGTTCACTGATTGTGTTTATATTTTGTTTCAGCGTAATGGGATGATAGGGGTAACTGCGGCTGGTGGGGGCGGCAGCGGGCCCCCAGGAGGTGGAGTGCGTGAGCGCACGATGAGGGCTGTCGAGTACTACAACAACACGGTGCTCCGGGCCAGAGTTGGCGCCGGCCTCACAGGACCTCGAACTGGGACCAACACATCCTACAATCCGATTCAAGATGCATTACACCGCAGCAATTCGAGCTTGGAACTGACCCACGATCCACATCATGGCCCTGGAGCGTCAGATCCTCCAATCCAACTCCGTCGTGAATACGGAAGTCATGGTTCCATTGACGTAATTTCTGCCGCTTCCGAGCGCGGAGGAACATCCGGTTCATCAGGAGCCGGTGAAAGTTTCTTTGCGATGCTACAGGATTACCGCCCAGCAGTGCTAGGGATGATAGGGACGGACCAGCGCAGTCCTGGCCCTGCAGAATATCTTAGAGGCAAAGTGGATCCCCCGCCAGCCACTGAAAATGCTTCGAATGCTCTAGCAGCTGCCAGTGACGATATTCCTTCATCAAACATGACATCTTCCTTGAGTACAAGTCCGAAACTGAGACTGAAGTTGCATCGGTTTTGGGGTGGAGGTGGTGGGGGTGGTGGAGGAAGTGGTGGAAGTGGAGGCGGCGGGAAACCGCCTAGACATCAGCATGTGGTTGATGATAGTGTTGTAAATACTAATACTTCTTCGAATAATAATCATTGTGTGGGCGGTGAGATAGAGGAGAGGCAAAGAAGGAGAGCTTTTGTGCACCATGACTGCCAGTCTATGACAGCCAATCTGGGATACGCGGCAAAGCTACGGGGGTTGCTTCTTGCCAGGAGGAGGAACACGACGACAGGGGCCTCGGCAGCGTCTATGCTTGGTGCCAGGTCTGCAACTCCAGACGGTGGCGACAGTGGAGATGAGGATGCGGGTGATGGACGCGGGAATGATCTTCTGGAAAGGTGAGTTTGATGATCATTGATACTGAATTGACTTCCGGTCGGTTAAGTTTTATTGACATGAATACTCAATCCGAAAGTGGCCGAAGTGGTCACCTAACTTCACGAATGGATGGTGACGGTGTATATTGATGTTGATTCTGCTCTTGAGTTTTTCACCTTCTGTTTGGATGTGAATAGTGTTGCCGACATTTCGAAGGTACATTCTGCCTCCATCTTCAGGACACAAGAAAGAAGGATGAGTTAACGTTCACGTGCATATACTTTTTAGTCCAACGTTAATGGGAGCAAAGGCCGGCTGCTGCGTGATCCAGGTCAGTAGGGCACTGGACAAGGAAGTGTTATCGAAAATAATCCTTAAAAAGGTCCATACTGGGCATATCTCTCTATCTTCCCAACCGTGACTGTAGAATCAAAACAACTCATATATTCATGAATGCTCACTGACCCTAGACCGCCTCTGTTGTCTAGTGGTCAGAGTTCCTGGCTACAGATCCAGACGTCAGGGGTTCGATTCCGGCTCTCCCAGGTTTTCTGAGAAGTAGTGGGTCTGGAACGGGTCCACTCACCCTCGTGAGTATAATTGAGGAGCTGTTTCAAGGAAATAGCGGCTCCGGTCTAGAGAACAGAAGTTAACGGCCGTGGGGATTCGTTGCGCAGATCACGCGACACCCTCTATATGCAAAAGTTGGCACTAACTTCGCCGACAAGCGGCGGTCGCTCGGTCGGTATAGTTCGCTTGCGGACTACAGGCCACGGAGTTCGTTTCTTTCGTTCGATCCTGCGCTTGGGCTCTATAATTTGCCCAGCCCTGCTCTAGCCTGTAATCTAAACTGTTGAAAGCTTCGTTAAATAAATTAAGAATAAATGAAATGAACAGCACGTGGTGAATCGTAAATTGCCGTTTGTTACAGCTGTCCATTCTTCCGTAATGAGATCGGCGGCGAGGAGGAACGCGTGGTAAGCCTTACGCGGGGACAGTCTCCGCAGAACGCCCAGAGGCGACCGCTACATCGGCCACCCATGGCGTATGGGGTGTCGGTGCTGGAGTTCCCACCGGGAGAGACCCACTGGCAACATGGTACCTGCCCTTATCAGCGCAACCCCCGCGCCATCGAGAGCGTCGACCAAGGCGCGCTGTATTACAGAAACCACTTCTATGGGCAAGGTAAGTCAGAATATCTGTACTGCATCTCGTTGGGGCACTGTGCTACAGATTGGTTTCAGGATTTCTTTACATATTTTATACGGTCTCGGTCTAGAAAATCGAAATTAACTGATGAAGCTGAGCCATTCTTGAGGAGCCGCCAATTCTGCAGCTGCTGAAGAATTTCCAACCATTTTATGGAACCCGAAGGTTCATTACCATATTCATAAGAGCCCTGCGCTGGTCCCTCTCCTGAGCCACATGTATCCAGACCATACCACCCCATCCTATCTCTCAAAGATTCTTTTTAATATTGTCCTCCCACTTACGTCTAAGTCTATATTCATACCTCTTCACCCCCATGTTTTCTACAGGCATTGCTCATATCCTTGACTTTATCATTTTAATCATCAGCAGATACTCTTAGGGTGATTTAATGGGCGGAGCATGGGTGCCATATGAAACGCTTTGGTTGTAAAGCAGAAGGAAAGAGGCGCAACATGAAATACATAGCCGCGACGGGAGAATACAGAATAAGTGACAGAGAATTTCTGTTTGAGAATGTGGCCTGAATTCGTTTGTCCTGTAAATATGGCAGTGAATATGAAGGTTTCATAAAACGCGGAAAATTTCTATACTAAGTTATGTATTATTGACCTCCTTTCTGGTCTAGTGGTCGGAGTTCCCGGGTTCGACTCCCGGCGCTAGCAAATTTTTTGAGGAGTAGTGGGTCTGGAACGGGGTCCACTCAGCCTCGTGAGGATAATTGAGGAGATATCTCAAGGAAATAGCGGCTCCGGTCTAGAAAACCGAGATTAACGGCCGTTGGGATTCGTTGCGCTGACCACTCGAAACCCTCTATCCGCTAAAGTTGGCACTAACTTCGCCGACAAGCGGCAGTCGCTCGGTCGGTATAGTTCGCTTGTGGACTCAAGCCACGGAGCTTTTTTTTTTCTTTATTTTTTAATAGGAATTATTCCGTACTGAAAATAGACTGTGCTCCATGGAGTTAATTTGTTCTTTTTCTTTTCTAGTGAGTAGTATTTAATACTTTTCACCTCCAGATATTCTTTTCGACTCTGGTGCCTTAGATGTAAATAAAGTCCAATTTGATGTATGTCCATGACGTACGTGCCTTTACACGAGAACGACTTGTCTATATAACTAGGAACCACGTTCAGCTGTTCTGAACAGCACGATTATACAACGAAATGGGGGACTGAAACTGAGAGGTTACACAACTTTATTCCCACCATCTTGACAGTTGAGTTATTGCTGTAAACCAAGTGAAATCAGGTCCACGATTACATGGATTGAATTACCGGTAAATAGATGGGTTCCAGAGAATGGATCACAAAGAAACGTGTGGTTTCGTGTGGTTCTGTGACTATTGTTATGTGGAGTCCATGAGTGTAAACATAACCTAACTAGTATGTGCACTTATCTTGCGAACGTCTTTTGTTTGATTACTTAACCTTCAAAGCTGTTAAATAATTAATCTGATGGATGATGATAATATTTGCAAATGTTTCACCGAACTTCACGGTCGAGTGGGTTAGCATTCCTACTTCGAATCCGGAAAAGCCCGTTTCAGATTTCTCCAAACGTAGACCAGCTATCGTGACAGGCTTCTCGTGGTTTTCCTCAGTCCAACCAGACGGTACCTCAAATTATTCACGAACGTTTATTTGCATCTTCGATCCGATTCAGAATTCACAGTCATTGCACGCTGTAATCTGCAATTTGAGTCCGTGGCTTTAGTCCGCAAGCGAACTATACCGACCGAGCGACGGCNCTGCTGTAATCTGCAATTTGAGTTAAATAGAAACAAAAAGTCCGTGGCGCAAGCGAACTATACCGACCGAGCGACGGCCGCTTGTCGGCGAAGTTAGTGCCAACTTTTGCGGATGTAGGGTGTCGCGTGGTCAGCGCAACGGATCCCCACTGCCGTTAATCTCGGGTTTCTAGACCGGAGCCGCTATTTCCTTGAAATAGCTCCTCAGTTATCCTCACGAGGCTGAATGGACCCCGTTCAAGACCCACCACTTCTAAGAAAATCAGGTAGCGCCAGGAATCGAACCCGGGACCTCTGGACCTGTAGCCAGGAACTCTGACCACTAGACCACAGAGGCTGTTATATTTGAGTAAAATAGACCACACAAAAGTTCTGTGTCAGATTTCTAATTTTAACAATTACATACCTGCAACAGCAGAATGTCTGCTATAATGTTTCAAGTTTTTAACATCAGCGAAAGAATGGACACTGGTTGTGTGGCTTCAAGTCTGCCGCTTGACCCTACACCCAACCTACATTGCACACTTCCAGTAACAAAGTAAGAACACAAAGGCAGACAGAGCCGTTAGTTAAGTGTGACGTTAAGCATGCACGTCAATACATAATAATTAAGCATCATGCCATGAAGGGATGAGGAGCGGAGGTATAGCTCCACGTTCTTGACTGCGATACTAGATGGAGGCGAATCGTCAAGTTCACGCCCCTGCCGCTTTACCCCCCCGGGGATATAGCTCGTAGGATTCGTTAAAATGGCTGGGTGGGCCCCAGAGATGGCCTGGACGCTAAGAAGAGAAATATATCATGTACCTGCCGGGTGTCGAACCTCGGTAGTCTAGTCCGTAGCCTTAGTCGCAATATAGACCGAGACTGAAGTGAAATCTAGAATAGGAAGTGTCAGCTATTTGCCAGTGAAACGTATTAGGGAGGTAGATGTAGGCAGACGGGTGGGGGTGTGTTCATTCTTTCTCTGATCCGTGTTCGATGGATATTCTTACTCCTACAGGAGGATGAATCGTCAAGTTCTGTAATTATTAATTTTTGAAATTCGTCTATTCACGCTGCACATATGGATGCATTAAAAGGAAAACAGATGTGCAGATTATTCGTAGAACTTCCTGTTTTGTATTGTGCTGTCGGTTCATTTCCACGTTCCTTATCTCATTACACCCTTTGACCTCTCCACAGCTGTTACAACTTATCACCGATTTGCGTCAGCTGTCAATGCATAACTTAAATATGTGACAGTTTTATTTACCTTCGAGTGTTATCACTTGCTGCTGAGATCTCGTGGGTTATAAAAAGGAATTGTATGACTGGAGAACTATTAGACACATATGAATGAACCGTTCATACAGAGACACGGCTTCGATTCCACTCCACGAATGCATATTACAGACAAGGAGTCACGATCATTGGATATTTCAATTGACCTAATCCTTCCAGCCGCACTGTGGCCCTGGAGTCGGCTCAGCCACCAACAGGGATGAGTACCAGGAATCTTCTGGGGGTAAAGGGCTTCCGGCGCGTAAGGCTGACAACCTTACCGCCATCTATGAGCCGATTTTATAGAAAATGTGCAAGCCTCGTGATCTCACAACCCTATAGGACCCCCAAGGTCTGTTACAGAGATAGCTTTGTCTTTCTTTTAGCGATAAAGTTACGTTTTACCATTTCAAGAGGTATTTCTAATGATACAGTAATATTATTAATTATAGTTCATCTCTCTCTTTTATAATACGGACGCGTTGCACCACAATATGGATCCATATTGAGAATTCAATTTACCTTGTGTTATGTATACACTGCCTAATGATGGTCCCTTGAGGACCGAAGCATGTAGCGGTAAGGAATACAATTCAGTCGGTGAGATATTGATTTGATTGTAAAATAATTTTTTGTTGTGATGACGGATGTTTGTGACGCAACAGAATGTACGCTAGGAGAAAAAAATACAGCTTATTAAGCTTACGTATGGCATTTTATAAATAGCATTTCAGCAGAACACAAAAGTGTTAGATAAAAACGAGCACATTTCTTATTCCATATATAAAATTTTATGCAGTATCGAATTAAAATCGGTAAAACTGTTAGTGGTATACATGGTAAAGATGGTGTTGTGGGAAGTGGTAAAGCACTCTGTAGATGTGACTAAAAATCGAAACAACAGAATAATGCTATACATAGATTTCCCATATAGAATTTCACCAGAATTTGATTAACGGTTTATGAAACACTAGAAACTGTACATTAACGACCTTAGGTAAAGAAATTTTTTTAGGGATAAGTATGGCTGAAAGTCCGAGTTGCCCCACAACTTGGTGAAAGTGTCCAGTGTTGAATTTAGAAAAATGCAACTGTTTAGGCGCTGATTCTAGGTCACTGGCGGACAAGACATTGCTTCTACATAAGCCTTTCTTTTATGTACTTTGTCAACGCGCTTCCTAATGGTTTGGACACTTCACGATTATGTGGGCCGCCATGCAAAATGGGTGTTCAAAATCACATTTACTGTTAAGAGTACGGTTTTGTGGAGTGTAACGCCGTGTAGTTCGGAAAAAGCCTGTTTTATAGCGGCATTAATAGGAGGAAGTTGGAACAGTAGCCCATTGGTTATCCAGTACGAGTGAGGGGTACTTCCGATGTAAACGTAAAGTTGTCCGCACCACGCCATGAAGACGCATGGGGGAGTGAAAGCACTACATGGAGGTGAGCTTCACGTTCTGGCCGCTTTACCAACAGGAAAGCATTATCAGTACCCATTAGATAGGAGGCTGGGTGAGGGCCAGAGCATGTCTGGACTCTGTGGAGTAGAGACAAATATTTTACGTCTCTCGGGACTCAAAACCCGTCCGTCCAGCCCTCGATATACTGACTGGGGCAGGGGGAAATGCGTCATGAAATTTAAACTGGTTTCTGATTGCAGAATGCTAATTCATGGTGACAAGTAAAAGTAAAGCTGTCCCTGTAACAGGCCGTGGAGGCCCAGAGAGTTGTGAGTGGTTGAGGTTCCCACATTTTATAGACAATCGGTTCATGGATGGCTCTGAGGTTGTCAGCCTTACGCGCCGGCCGCCCTTTATCCCCAGGAATATTCCTGGTACTCATTTCTGTTAAGAGGCTGAGTCGTCCCTAGGGTATAGTGTGGCTGGAAGGATTAGGTCAATTGAGAAAATCCACCTCATCGTGATTCGATCCCGCGACCTTCCGGCTTGTAGAATAGTGCCTC